TTGACCACTGGTGATGCTTATTTATTGCACTCGTGATAGTTTACAGAGTTCACCAAGTGCTCATTTGTATATTTGTTTATATATATATACATATATTTTTGGCCTCTTATTTAATTCAGGAAAAATCTGGTAAAATCGGGTCCGGCGGACCCTGTCAGCCGTGGAGGCGGCCGGACCCTGTCAGCCGTGGAGGCGGCCGTGTATACGTCCGCCCTCCGAGCTCGGCCCCGCGGACGCATCCGTGGGTGTTTCATAGGAGAGAACCAGAGAGAGAGAGAGAGAGAGAGAGAGAGAGAGAGAGAGAGAGAGAGAGAGAGAGAGAACCATATCAAGCGAGAGATAGGAAAGAGAGAGAGAGGGAGACGTTCTTAAAAAAAAAAAAAAAGATAAAAAAAAAATAAAAATTGAACGGCGTTCAATTTTGAACGCGAATTTAAATCCACGTTCAAACGCGGAATTGAACGCGAACGCGCGTTCATGGCGTTCAAACGGTTACATAGCACATCCTTGGTTCAGCACCTACGCTTGGGTGGAGCTCCCGACCTTCGAGAGGGATTTCTGGCACCAATTCGATTATATACACCCCGAACAAGTGTTTCCTCATGATCAAAGATCGAGTCCCAAAACCCCTTGAGTCCGTCACAAAATATTGCAGTAGGTTCTACAGCTTGTTCGTCAAGTCAGAAAGAGACGAAAAACTCGGAAGGGATTTGTTCATCGACGGACGACGAAGTCGCGCAATGCGGGCGAAATTGCAAAAACAGTTTTCCCCCATCAATCATGCTATGCAACAAATCATGGACGGGGCAGAGGAGATCAGATGAAAGTCTGTCGCTGGCTTCCTAGAAGGAGAAGATCACGCTAAGGAGGGAGATTCCTCGGAATTGGCTAGGGCGAAAGCAGAGTTAGCCGCGCTCCAAAACAAATTCGAGAACATAGACTTTGTCTCCAGCCCCGTCACCTATCTAGAGCAGGTTGGAGTTAAAAGATCGATGACAGACGCAACCCCAGGATCACCCGTAATGATCGCACCTACGCCTCCTCCTGACACAGCTACAAAGCCAAACGAATCAAGCGCAATCTTAGAACTAACACAGGCGTTTGTTAATGTGATGCACGAAAGCAAGAAAGAGCAGCGTGAGCACAATACCCAAATAGATTCATTGATGCGATCGATGTGTCCCATTGTTGTTCGAGCTGCACCAGTGGCCCCGGGAGTAGCCCCCGGCCAAGTCATGGGAGGCGCTGTAGCTAATGTTGGCGTAAGAATGGATGGCTGTTACACATGTCACCGGCCAGGCCATGTAGCTCGGGACTGCCCCAACCGGCGGGCACAAACCCCGATAGGAGCAGCACTCGCGGCAGCCGCACCCGTAGCCAACGGACCAGGGAGGGTAAGCATGATGGTGGAAGACGTGGACGGGGGGGGCAAGTGCGATAATCACTATCGAAGAAGTTGTGAAGCTCATCCCATTCGACCAATACATCTCGCTGGTCTACCAAGGCTAGGAATGATTGGAGCCATCCATCCCGCAAATGAAGAATGTGAAGTAACCGAGTGGAGGACATCCCCCGGAGAAATGGAGTCTAGCGGTCCAACCTTCGCTACGGGGGAGATAGATGTGATGAACATCGTCCGAGAACTGGATCACCAAATTCCCCCACCCATCAGACATTTTCTGTCCATATCGGAGCAGGCAAACGGGCGAATGCTGCAACATTGCAAGGCAAACCGAAAACGATTTGCCCTCACTAAACTAGCAACCATCAAAGGAAAGGCTCCCATCCATGAGAACAAACCCGATGTTCCCTGTACCTCAGATCCAATACGGTTGGGGCTGATCCAAAAAGATGATTCCGTGAAAATCCGCGGAATATGACGTAGAAGTCTGGGGAATCTCGTACAGCGCTATCATCGATTCAGGGGCCACTGTTTTAGCCGTCTCCCTAAAGGTGGTGGAACGAGCAGGAAGAAAGAAAGACCTGATCTCGTTACTTATCGGACAATCGGCCCGCACTGCGCTACAGGTTAACTTAAATTTCGAAAAGCGATCGATTATCAAAATTTATCCTTTAAAATATTGGCGGAAAACCGTACGTCACACGACTTACACTCCAAACCGCATTACCTTCAGTTTGGAAGCTTTCCCTTGAAATCGGGGGAGCACTCCACGTCATCACCTTAAGGGAGTCCACTAACGTACCAGACACTAGGAAAAAAAGGTCCGAGTCTTCACCCAACACCTCTGACAGTGGGCAGGAGACGGACCCTATGATTCTGGGCATGGCTCACCGACTGGTTCGTTACCGGGTTCGACAACAAACAACGAAGATATTCGCCCTCACGGGGCGAAACCTCCGACGGACGCAAGCTCTAATCTTGGGAGAACCACTAGTACAGGTATCTCGAATGACCGACTCTTGCGAACCCCCTCRAACCTTATACGAAGCCACCACCCCTCTCCTCCCAAGATATAGCGACAAGAAAGCCTGTTGTGATATTACGGGATTACCTCGCTCCTTGCTCTCTACCGGAAAGGAGGTTCGATTGTTGYGGCAGCGYGCCGAGAGCGAAGCTCTGGAACCCATTGGGCGTGGCGATCTCTCGCCTTCTGACATCGGGATCAAAATTGTCAAGAAACCCGTAAGCCCGCGGGACATCAAAGACGGCGTTACGCCAGAAGAACACGTGGTGATCCGAGAARAAGATGCTCAGATGGTCGCCACGGTGTTCTCCTGGCGATCGGACAACTCGTTCATCTCGTCTCCCCCGCCACGGTGTTCTCCTGGCGATCAGACAACTTGTTCTCCTGGCGATTAGCGTCAAGGACACAGACATCGGACTATCTGTAGTTATCCAATACGAAATCCAAACAGGAACGTATCCGCATATCCATTCCAAACCATATTGATAGTCCCTCGTGGAACGGAGAACAGTGTTGGAACGAATCCGAGAATTCGAGGCTAACGGATTGATCGAGCCGGCTACAGGGTCCTGGTCCTTCCCCGTGGTTCTAGTTCCAAAGAAGAACGGGTCGATTCGCATATACATTGATTACACGAACTTGAATCATATCACGATCAAAGATGTGTACCCCCTCCCCCAGAATTGATGATTTGTTGGATGTGATTGGGTGTGCCAACTATTTTAGTAAGTTCGGTATTCGCCATGGGTTTCATCATATCCTGGGCAAGGAGGAGGAATGGACGAAAACGGCATTTGTGTTGTTCGAAGGTACTTGGCAGTGGGTTCGCTGCCCCATGGGGATATGCAATGCACCAACTACCTTTCAAAGAGCAATGAACGTCACCGTCCAGAATTTCGTTAACAAGACCAGGCTAACCCAGGGAATGATTAATTTTTGTGTCATTGTGTACAAAGTACATGGGCGACATTCTGGTGTACTCCGAGTTGTTTCACGGACACGCACAGCACATCGAATGGTCAGAATGGACACTTGGAGCATTGCGAGATGCTGGCTTCAAGATCGCACTGGAGAAAAGTGAATTCTTCCTCTCCGAGGTCTCGTTCCTAGGGTACGTAGTGACCCGTGGGGGCTTGAGACCGGATTCGAGGAAGGTCTAGGCAGTTCAGGACGCACCCACGCCCACGTTACTAATGCAGGCTTGGGTCTTTCTGAGACTGGCCTCATATTACCGGCGGTTTATCAAGGTATTTGCGGCAATTGCGCGGCCTCTGACGAACCTCCTTAGGAAGGACCAGCCACTGAATTGGGATGCAGAGTGTGAACAGGCCTTTGCCACTTTGAAGGACGCCTTGGCCTCCGTACCTATTTTAATCCGACCCGACCCCGAGAAACATTTTATACTCATCACGGATTAGCAGTCCGAGGCGATCTCCGCTATTTTGGCACAGAAAGGGAAGGACGGCCGAGAGCACGTCATCGAATACACTTCACGAACRGTACCAAACGAACGGCGGAACAACTCGGCCCCTCAGGGGGGAGCCCAACAAGATGCGCATGGCGGGTGGGGGGGGAGTCGCTGCTGCAGACACTCAGGGGCGGGAAAGTAATGTTGCGGTCGTGGCGAGAACGAGAGAGGAGCTTCCAGTTGTGCAGCAGGAGGCAACAACAAGGGTGATAGGGAGGATGAGGACCCCCTTTTCAGCTGGGTGCGGAGGGGAGGCATGGCGAAAGATTTGGTCGACCGTGCCCGCCTGTGTGTTGATGACAAAGCGTTCTGGACGACGGGGGAGGGGCGAAGTCTGTACAACATCCTCCACGATATGCGAGAGTACTTTGTCACCATCGCCAKCGGGCTGCAAGCGCCCTCCGTCCCCCGGAGCGTCGTCATGCCGAGATCCACCATGAGCCTAACAAGGATTGCAGATCCCGCACAACAACAAYAGGCGATCTCCCGCGCGGCGGTAGTGGAGAATATTGCTATGCGCGTCTTGCACGGATGGGTCTTCAAGTCCGGGAACCGCCCCCGAGGATACAATCTCGCTTTCCAGTACGTGCTGGAGTCGGTGGCGACAGACATTGCGCGTGCCATGTGGTACGGCGAGGAGTGGAGCAACATCGTGAGTGCGTTCGTTTGCGCGCACACAATCGACCTGAACATGGACTTGCCACTGTGGTTTCCAAGCGCGAACATCGAGGACAGGCAGGAGGACGACGACATGGCGGCGCACCAGGAGTCGACCGTTATATGCATCGCGCATGCATTCCGCGCCGCGGTGCAAATGGGTGCCAACATCGACGGCGGGCTCATCTCACACGACCGTATGTCAAGGATTGCAGATTGCTTCAGGCATTTGTTGGAGGCCAGCATGTGGTTGATGCGCATGGCGGGAGACGATCCACGCAGCCACTATGAAGCCTTCTACTTCTCGAAGCTGGTCGCGAAGCCCACGCTCGCCGCATCCATGCATCGCTCCTTCGAGCATCGACGATCCGTCATCCGAGCCACCAACACCATGACGGAGAGACTCGGGAAGGCGAACGCCACCTTCGGAGAGTACCCGAAGTACATCCCCGACTGGGCTTCGTGCGGCATCGTCTTCGGGCCAACGCGAGCATAACAGGGCCGGAGGACGCGAAGAGGAGGGATTGGTTCTATTCACGCCCCTTGGAGGACAATGATGACGACGATGGAAAAGACGACACGTAGGGGGGATGAGGGAGGGTTTGATGCGGCCGACACGTGCAGGGCGGGAGAGGGAAGCTGAACGGGCCGCGTTTGTCGGCGTGGGTGAGGGAAGTGGAGGGGGGAAGTTGTTTGCAACGTCGAAGCTGCAGGTTTCGTGGCCGCGCGTTCGTAAAACGGATTGTTGATGGTCTTTTCCTTCGTTGTGCACGTGCGCAGCGTTTGTTTGTTGTGTCTAGACGCCCGACGTTTTCGGTCGTCTACTCCGGCAGGGTTGATTTGTGTAACTGAGGTCGTAGTTGTTTGTGGATGTGGATAGTCTGTCGGTGCTGACAGTGGAGAAGCGACGGTAGACGGCGTTCTCTTCAGCACACTGTAGGAGCGAATTCGATTTTTGTGATCATGTTTTGTGTTGTTGTCAACGCAACTTGCTGCGAAACAAGTTGATTGCACTCGRGGTGCACCTTTGATCTTTTAATCTTGCGTCCTCTGTTTTCGTCAGTTCGGAGATCATGACTGATCACTCATTCCACAGCGAACAGTCTTTCTCACGAAACATGATTAGTCCTCGGTTTGTTGGATGTACATTCACACATGTCATCTTGATTTGCTTGTGCCATTGTCGCTCGTTTGTTTGTTGCTTGTTTGTTTTCTTTCCCAGTTTTCCCAATGCCAAACAAAAGATGTGTTTGTGTTTGATTTCAACACTCGTAGAAAGACAAAGCGCACAACACTATACAGCATACGATGTCCGACAAAACATGTTGTGAACGTCAATGCAATGAAATAGCAACACTCACAATGACAACACATACTGGAAATCGACGAAAGAAACTTTGGGAATTACTCAACAATTCATTGCGGAGACTCAAAAATGGAAGGTAGGTGGGGGACAAGTTTCAGGCCCACCCGAATCACCAACACTGCTCTTTCTAAACAACACCCGCTGTGTCAAAAAACGGCGCACTTTACACCCACAGTACGCCGTGTCCGCACTACACGACGTCAACGCCAATCATAAAAATCCAAGAACAACGGCGACGCACATCCACGAATCACGACGGCGACGAACCACGACCCTCGACGCAAACCACCAAGCCAGAGGCGGGACAGATGCTAGCAACCCAATCAAGGCTGGACGGAACAACGAATTTGCCCTTCGGCCATTGCTGCAATGAATGCACTTCCACGCGTTGTCATCCACCATGGGAACACGACTCAATCGTTTTTTATTCGTTCCGCCAAATCATGCCTCATGGCCAACGCTCCCTCGTCGACGTCATCATCGACACAGGCTGAAGGGGCTCTTCCATCCCCAGGTCCACACGACGTCGCACACCATTAGCATCGGCCTCCCATAGCAGATTCTCGTCGAAGGGGATTCCTGCGTCGATMAGTATGTTGTGCAGTATACACACGACGGTGAACTATTGCGGGAGCGTGTCCAGGTTTGTCTTGTGCATCCGTAGAAACAGCCGCCGTATGCCCTTCAGCCTGCCGAACGCCCTCTCCACCGCGGCTCCCCTCGCCACCTTCTGCTTGTTGTCAAACCGCTCCTCGTCAACGTGCTGATTGATGCCTCCATACGGGACGACCATCCATTCCGAAGGTGGGTAGCCATTGTCCGCTAGGACGTACCCGTTAGTCTTCACACCGAACGGCAGTGTCACGGGGGGACCACGGAACAACGACCCCTCCTCCGCGCGCTGCGACAGGCTGGAAAATTGCAGCACCCTGATGTCGTGGCAGCTACCTGGGTATCCCATGTGCACGTCGAGCACACGCAAGTCCAGGTCGACGACAACCTGTGCAATGATGGAGAAACGACGCTTCTTGTCGTAGTAGTTTTCGCTCGGAGCATTCGTCGGCTTGTCCACGTAGATGTGAGTACAGTCAATTCAACTGTGGCAGTTGGGGAACCCTTTATCAGCGAACACCCGCAGAACGACGAGCTTACGACCTCCAGTCGGTCACGCGATCTTCTCTCTAAATACCCTTAGCAGCGCGACAGTAACGTCGCGGACGGCAACCGGACCAGAAGCTCGTCCTATCCCGAAGTTGCAAGTGTTGTTCTCGTACATCTCCCATGTAGCCCACCTGTACAGTGCGTACGCCACAATCTGGTCCGGCTGCAAAGGCTCCCTGTAGAACGTGACCCGCCGCTGAAGATGAGGCGCACACGCCTCTGCAATCTGACCCGCCGCTGAAGATGAGGCTCACACGCCTCTGCGATCTCCCGGAACACTCGCGGCGACATTCGTAGCTTATCCCGGAAGTAGTCGTCTATCGCGTCGTCGCATTGCCTGAGGTCTTCCCACGTGCCTCCTGTCCTGCGCTTCACCCACCACCGCGGCGTAGCACGAGGAATCATTCCGCAACCCAACGTGTAGCACAGTTGAACAACAGCCTCCGATGTTGCCACGTATTCGGCCCCGTCGTCCGGACCTTGCATCAATGTCCTCCGTCTACGCGCACGCAACTGTTCCTTCAGTCGCCCCACGCCCTCTCCTGCTGACATCGAAGAATGATCGTGGACACGGCCGCCGCCACGGCCTGCAGCTCACGAGGCGTCAACACATCATGTCTACCCTCTCCGCGGCCCTCCATAGCCGCGACGTGGACACGGACCCGTCGCTTCGCTGCCGTCTGTGTCGTCCTTCCGCACCCGACGAAGAAGCCGAAGACGAAAGGTGGCCCCTTTTCTATGCTTACAGTCCCCCACAGGGAAACGAGAAGCAAGGCCCAGTCGACGTGTGCAAAGGTCAACGGCGATGGACGCACCACATGCCGCCCGCGCAGTCGCAATGGCCTCGGGACGGAACCTCCGCCGTGCTGAGCCCCTTTCCGCAGCACGCTGTCCTCGCGCCGCCAGTCACACGTCGTCGTCGTCGTCGCAGCAGTCATTCAAATTTCGAATTTCAAATGCCCACGCCCTTGGGGTTAAATTTCTTTTCGCGCCGCCCGCCGTATGCCGTTTCCCCTCTCGCGTCGCTGGACCACGCCGCTTCCGCACGGACAAAAGACGCTGGACCAAGGATGACCGACCCCGCGGCCGCTAATTTGCGTATGAAAACGGCCGCGGGTAAGCCACAAGGAAACATCCTCGGGGGAGGTCCCCAAGGATGAGTGGAACGACGCCACAAATTCCCCTTAAAAGCCACAAGGACATTTCCTTGTGGCTCAAGGAACTCGTAAGGAGTGTCTAACGAGGCCCTAGGAGGGACTCCCCTATAATTGCAGTAGGAATTCCATGACACTCTGTTTCCACTTGGTTTCCAATTAGCAGACTAGGTCTCCCCTCTAATGATAGTAGGAACTACATGACACTTCGGCTTGGGTTCTTTCGCAGCTGGGGGATTGTGTTGCTACTTTTTTTCAATTAGCAGACTAGGAGGGACTCCCCTATATAATTACGGTAGGAATTCTCTCTGTTTCTACTTTTTTCCAATTATAGGAATTGCATGCCACTCGCACTGGCGTTCTTTTGCTGAGGTCAGGGTTAAGCCAGGCCGGAGTGTCTGGCTCATCCCAAAGACTTCAGCGCATGATGTGCAGGTCAATGATTGTTTTTTCTTTCTACAAAACATAAAAAATAAAAAGGCCCCAAATGTCACAAACACGAAGGAGCAAAATTTCAATTAACCGCCATAAATGGTAAACACTGACTTTCAAACCAGCATTTAGCGCTGCCGCCAGAATAAAACGGAAGCAAATATCTTCTGTCTTTCCTGGTTTTTCTGAATCATTCTGTACAAGGGACGCTGGACCCGTTTTCCAGCAAGTGATGCTCCCCACTAAAAGATGGAGCCTCTTCCCAGGTGCTAGGGGTGTATTTTTATTTATTTATTTATTTATTTATTTATTTATTTATTTATTTATTTATTTATTTATTTATTTATTTATTTTTTGGGTGTCTGCTCTTACCAGCACCACTAGCACTGATGGGAGTGTTTTGGTGTAAAAAAAAAAAAAAAAAGAAACGGACGCAAATACGAAAAAGTTTGGACCATTTCTCAATTTATGTGTGTCATCCTTGCACCGGGACCGTGCTAATCCTCTATGCATTTTCACAAAAAAAAAAAAAAAAAAAAAAAAAAAAAAAAAAAAACTCTCCGTATCGTTCCAATTTTAACAGATGTCCCGAAGGTCAAGGAAGCCAATACTTGAGGGTCCCCTCCCAACGATTCTGAAACAAAATGCGCTCGATGGAGACACGACATAATTTGGTTTACTTGGACCAAGTAAGGACGAACCTGGCCAGTATCACAACCAGATTCCTGACCCCTCGACAGTCCGACCACCGCCACAGCCRAGACCACTTCGAGGCCCGTTCCTTGAATGTGCCCGATACGGGGGAACAGTATTTGGCCCATACACAGCTCACTGAGCTTAGTAGACCTCTCGTCACTTCCCCCAAAAAAAAAAAAAAAAAAAAAAACTCTGGTCACGGCACGCTGCCAGATGGGCCATACTCACGCTAGGAATTTTTCGATTGAGCTCCGGACGTGATTGCCATCAGATGCATCCAGATCCGACGGTAATTGCAGGCAGATACATTTACGAGAGCGCTGGTGTGAGTAGTCGTCAAAAGCCAAAGAGTCTGTGTGCTCAGATATCAAGTCGGAGTGAAGTCCCGAACTCCGTGGTGATGTCTCTGGTACGGCACACCGTTGCTTTCCAGTGTTTCCACTGCCTGAGGAAAGAGGGAGAAGTATAAAAGGAGAGCGAGAGGCGCATCTCCGCATCAAACAGTGAACTTGCGGGGAGCAGTTTCGACGGAACCAACACCACACTCAATTGCTTGAGAGAGCTGGTACGTAAACCTCCCTTTCTTACAGCGCAGTCAACGACGAGCATAGCAGTCGTAGCGGGTGCGCGTCGAGGAACATCCGAACTCCTCTCTCTCTCTCTCTCTCTCTCTCTCTCTCTCTCTCTCTCTCTCTCTCTCTCTCTCTCTCTCTCTCTCTCTCTCTCTCTCTCTCTCTC